ATATATATATATATATATATATATATATATATATATATATATATATATGTTAATAAATGTATAATTTAAAAAAGAACATTTTTATTCGACTTTTCAATGTGTAGGAATTTTTGTAGATTTTCTACCTTTCTTTTGTGAATCTCCAGTTTTTATTTTATGTGAAACACGTTAATATTCAAGTTGGTGTCTGAAGTTTTGAATTGGTATCACTTATACATATGTTTATTTATAATCCCCTTCTACTCGTAAACATGTTTAAAATTGCATATTCATCAGAGAACTGGGTTTGTTCGTTTGACTACTAGTCAGAGGTTTAATTGATAATTTAGAATTCTTTAGTTATTGTAAGTAATCTATTCATGTCTTTATGAATTAAATTGGAGATTGCACAGTTTATTGTGATTTTGTATAGTGTCAATTATTTTAATAAGGTAATAATGGTTTACATAGTTTTCAACTTTTTATGGATGTGTATATTTCAATTGTTGTTGTTTTTCATATTATATTATTCATTTTATTTTTTAAATGTTAATGTTTCCAAGCTGAAAAAAACCTGTTCACTAAAGAAAATGTAATTTGAAGCATTTCTCTTTGAACTGTAATACCCAGATAAAGTGAAATTTGACTTAAGTTATATGTACATAATACTCCAAAAGTATTACATCTAGAACACTTTATTAAAAAAAAGTTAGAGATTCAGTAAAAGCTAACTTTCTGTTAAGATAGTTATCTATACAGTTAGGTGTTGGCCATGGTCTAGTGCTTAGCATACTTAGACTGGGAAGCGGAGGGTTTGTGGTTTCCAGCCCATTGCCACAAAAATACGCTCTGCTCTTTGGAGACAGTCAAATTCCATTGCTCAGTAAGACAAGAATAGCAACAGCTGGCGGTGGGTGCTGTTGACTAGCTGCCTTTCTTTTAGTGATTAGTCTATCAGCTCAAAATTAGAAAACTATGCATAGATAGCCCTTTGTTTATCTTCGTGGGAAACTCAGGAACAAACTATTGTTAGATGCTTGAATAAATATTACCTAAAAGAAGTAAATATCTAGTTAAAGAAAAATATTTTATAGCAAGATTGTGACGGTTGGTTGATTAGGTTATTGGAAAGAAAAAGTTATACTAATTTGTTACATTAAACTTGGTGGAACATGCATTTACAACACTGAAGAAACATAACATGTAATCTTTGAAAGTTGCAGATAGAATAAACTAATATAGTTGAAATATCTGTGAAAGACGGGAGATTTCAAAGAATTTACTATTTGTGTAGGATAAGCTCAGAATTTGAATCCAACTTCTTCAAAACATACATCAGTTCCTAAAAATGGAAATGTGAATTTCAAAAGAAATATATCAGATAAATAGAGAAAGAAATGCACGTCCTTATGATATATAACAAAGCATTCCAGCTCTGATTAAAAACTAGTGCCATTAAATGGATGTTCATTATCAATATAAATATTCTCAATAGTTAAGAAATATATAAATGAACCTAAAGTTATTGATACATAGAAAAGCAACAATAATTAAGCCTGTAGTTGCTAGTTCAGCACATGAATCATCATTTTTCTTATCTTAAGTAGATACATTTTTCTGTGTATATAATTTTACTGCATTTGTTAGCTCTTGCGATTTCATCTCCAATAAGTCTCATTTAAAATTGGTATAGGATCAGTTTAATTAAGAAACCCCTTATCTTTCTTTCTTACTAGCATTTAGTTTAATGGTTATTAAATGTTATTGGCAGCGGTAGTCTTTTTAATAAGTTAATATCAAAAGAAGGCTGTACAGGCTGTCTATAGAATTCTTGAAGTACGTCATGAAATATGCTATTAATGATGGGCACAAACTGAACATGATATAAGTTCAATTTCTAACCAGGATGATGATTGGTTAAAAAAAGAGAGAGATAGATGGTGTAGGATGATTAAATGTTTTGGAAAGAAGGGTAGAAAAAAGCTAATATCTGCATGATCATTTCGATTTAACACGCTTAGAGTAATTAGTGTCATGGAGACTCATTTTATGTGAATATCTGCATTCAATTGATCAGTGAGAACATTTAAGGAACCATTTTATAGACTTAATTTTTTGTCACCTTAGTTACGTTTCTCAGAAAAAACAAACATGGTGTTTTTATGGTACTTATTTTTTGTTGAAGAACCTTGAAGGAAACATTATCTAAAACTTTAAGTATACACAGTATCTTCATCGTTTATTGAACTTATTTTAGGTCTGTAATGTTCAGGCACACGACGTGTATCAGTAAATTTTCCTGGTTTTTAGTATATTGTATTTGTTGTTTGGTAGTAAAAACTTGTGTCGTGGATAAACATTCTTGTAGTTATGATGGACTACCATATAGGATAATATTAAATCTAAAGTAAATATTTTGATGAAATTAAATATAATGTTTTAAGTTCTCTTTTACTCACTACAGTGAACTTATATTTTTATCAAACTGCAGTCTTGAGGTCAGAAACAGAAGTTCAAAGAACATTACAGTTAAATTTGATGATGAGGAACCCACTTTTTAGAAAATAAAAGTTTGGAGACAGCTTGAATGGTTAATGAAGAAACATTTATTATAAATATACAATGTTTCGACAAAATGATGACATAATCTTTATAAAGTTTTCTTCATTACTCCAAACTTTATTTAACGTTACAGTTAGAATCACAAACCTTCCAATCTTCATCATTCAAACCAAGTAAAAATGTCAGGTAGTTTTGCATTACTGATTTCTGCAGTAATGTTTTAATCAGTTTTAAATACTGTTTGAATGTTTACTTACTTTACATTTTTAATAAGCGTATAAAATCAACTTTATTGTCTACATTTTCTTTTGGTATGTTTTTTGTAGAGCAGAAATAGCAAAATCTAACCGCCATAGTTCCATAAGATTTTATTGCTTTAATGATTTTTATGTGCTCTGAAAATTATTGAGAATATAATGAAAATAAAAATTCTAGGCAAAATGAATTACCTTATTTAGTGTTCTAACTTCATTATTTGTTCACAATAATAGCCCTCTGCAGAGACAAACAAAAAATTTTACTTTAAATAATAAATCATAATGCTGCCATTTATCTTATGCCATTACAATATTAGGGTTAAACCCTGTACTTCTTGATATCGAAAATATGCTTCCATTGCGTGTTCAATGCAATGAATGAGATGCATCTTCACGTTATGCAAAATATATGTTTGTATTTTGATTAATTGTAATGTAATAGCAAAACGAACGAAATTCATATGTGGTGGTTGATACACTGTTACACTTCTGTTTTTTTCTCCCTGTAGCAACAAATGCACGCTCAACAGCTGCCGCCTCATGCCCATGCTCCGCCTATCCCCATGATGCCTCACGCAGCATTAGCAGGTTTGCAACCTCCGACAATGCCACCTAGCAGTGCTGCTGGATTACTAGCTTTGTCAGGATCCTTGACAGGTGGAGTTCCCACTTCTCATCTCTCTGGAAGCACTTCCGGTTCTTCAGCTTCACTAAAGGAACACCGAGATGATAAACGAATCAACTGTATGTCCTTCATCATTTTGTCTTTTTTTCAGTTTGATTTTTGAAGTATTTATTTCTATGTTTCTTACATGAATTTGATATTATGATGAAAGTAGAGTTTCTAACGTATTAAGTTTCAGTAATAATTTAGATGAAGAATGATTATAATTTTCTATAAAGGAGTCCAGAAATTATATAATCTAATTTGTGAGTAGCATTTTCTTAAACATGAAAGCTGTTACCCAGCATTCTTTTGCTTTCCTTATAAAAACTAATTATTTATTTTAAAATATTTGTTTTCCCTTTTGAAAAGAGCCAATTTTAAAACCGCAGAAAATGGGACATGTCTTTCAACTAACTGAAGCACTCAGCATTTCGGAAAATCGTCATACGCCTGTGTTACATTTACAAGCATTTGATGCTTCTGTTCTTATTTCATGAGGTTGCATTTTACTATTTTCAAGCATATCCGTACTTTCCTAAGCTTTTACAACTTAATTCTTTATCCTAAAGTATTAAACTTTCAAGAGTAAACGGGCTTTCCAAAAGTGGTTAATGTTATTGAACGCGTAATTGTCAATCTTTACGTAAATACTCATTTGGCATGAAGCCATATTATTTTCAGATTACAGTACTCTTTTCTCCGAGTCTAAGCAAGGCCTGATAAGGTATATAAGCAGATTACCGTTCTACACTATTCAGTTTACTTGTATGAGAAAAGAATGTTTCAACTCAAACTCTTGGGAGAGAATTTTCAAAGCAGTAATTAGATTACGCCATAAATTATCAGCACGCAGTTCATGTGGAGCAGATGAGGAGTTCAGCCAACTTTCCGCCTGGCATGCAGACTCGTACATTTAACAGGTTTTCCCATGTAATCGCTATTCGTCAAATGAAAGTTAGTGGCACCGCGGAAATCACGCTGTTTCATTCTCACGCCTTGTGTAAAGGTTGTCTAATTAGAACATGCATGTTAGATATAATTGACCACGAACAGCGATACGTTGCAGGGGAGAAGATACCATAACATTATCCAAATATTTTTACACTAAAATTATTTGTAATCAATTAAATGAAACCTACTTGGGTCTGAATGTTTTAGATTGTTTTTGTTGTACATTACCCATGCTAAATATCATTTGATATTGTACTTTGAAATTCAAAAGTATTATTTTTTTTTGGTGAAATTAATTTCATTGCAGGGTTTAATTTAACCCGTTTTAATAACTATACAGCATTTTTAGTATTAATCTCTTTTACGTTATTACATTTTACAAAATCAAATGCGAATTTATTTTCATAATTGTTTGTTTGTTATGGATTTCGCGCATAGCTACGCGAGAGCTATCTGCGCTAGCCGTCCCTCATTT